GCTTGCTAATGCCATTTTCCTGTCATAAGTCTCTCCTAATGTTTTTCCAAAGTTTTCCCAAAGATGACAATGTCAGCAAGGTATAGCAACACTTGAAGGTATTTCAAGTCTCCCAACTATTTTATCATTTGTTGGATGTTAATTGTGAGTTAAAAGGAAAGAAAGTATCATACCTCCCACCCCCCAAATAAAACTGTTTACCAAAATTATTTTTTTTAAACTTCCAAGAACAATAAAAGCTGAGCTCAAAGAACAAAAGTACCCAGAGGAAAACATAAAATTTTGTTAAAGTCTGAAATGCTCTTGAAGCTTAAGGAATGCTAGAAAGGTAATTAGCCACCAATAGGCAGCCCCACTTCTGTCTCTGCTTGTTCTATTTCCCAGCTTTTGGATGAAGCTTCCAAAAGGGGGTTATACACACAGTATTTGTGATAGGGATCTCAAAAAAACAGGTACCTTATAATTCAGATTGCATAAATGAAATTAAGACACATACTTCACACAAAAGTTTTAGACTCTAATGTACTTTAAAAAAATAGAATCTTGGGCAGCTAGGTGTCGAAGTAGATAGAGCACCAGCCCTGGATTCAGGATTCGAGTTCAAATCCGGCCTCAGACACCTAACACTTACTAGCTGTGTGACCCTGGGCAAGTCACTTAACCCCATTGCCTAAAACCAAAATAAATAAATAAATTTTTTAAAAAAAGAATCTTGTGTCTGCGTTGGATCTTATCACATCAATATACAATAAGTTTCTTGAAGGCAAGGATCTTCCCTTAAGTAAATTTTCTATTTCCACCAGAGCCTATCAGTGCTCCCCATATAAAGCTGCTGCTGTCTAGCAGTTTCAGTCGTGTCTGATTCTTCATGTCTCCATTTGGGGTTTTCTTGGCAAAAATACTGGAGTGGTTTGCCATTTCCTTCTCCAGCTCATTTTCCAGATGAGGAAATTGAGGCAAAGAAGGTTAAATGACTTCCCCAGGGTCACAGCTTTAGTGTGTGAGGCTTAATCTGAACTCAGGTCTTCCCGACTTTAGGCCTGACACACTATGCACTGCACCACCTAATTGCTCCATAAAAGTAAGCACTTAATGTTTATTTTATTGTAAAAATTGTAAAGTTCAGTTCTTTTGAGTGATAAATTTAAAAGGTTGCATCTGAAAAATATAAACAAACACAGAAATGGCATATTTTGCTCATAAAATTAAAACCTACTACAAAGTAAACTCTCTTTAGTTCATGGAACCTAAAACTTACTTTTTCTTATAGTTATAGGTTTTGAGGCGCTACTCTTCTTCTCTCCCTCTCCAATACATTCCTGACTTTATCATTTTCCACGCTTTATTTTTCTTGCACTATTTTGAGGCATACACAGCACTAACAGTGGCTGATACACTTTATAAAAATACCATCTTATTGACCTGTTTTGTTTTGCCTCTTCTTCATTTCTAAATATGTTCTTTTCATTTCTTCTCTCTCATTCCTAGAGAGTCATCCCTTGTAACAAAGGATGGGGGGGGGAAGCACATCAGCAAAAATAACTAACATTTAAGTACAGACAGCATATGTGATGTTTCACATCCACAGTTCAACACCTCTGAAAAAGAGGGAAATACAAAGGAAATACATTTGTCCCTCTCTTCTTTGGGGCCAAACTGAACCTGAAGAATTATAACAACAAAGCATTCAATTTGGGGTTTCTTTGATGAATTTGTTTATTGTCCTATTTACATTGTTATAGTTCATATATGTAGATGAAGAAAAATTATAAATGTGAATGTTTTAAATTTCATGGATTCAAAACCACGCATTTCATCTTTTACACTTTCTTCTTTCATTTGGTTAAGGATATATCTATAGATATTCTTATATATGTATGTATACACATACATATGTAGACTACATATTATATATATATATATATATATATATATATATATATATATATACACATTTTCCTTGAGCTACATAATACACTTTACATCAGTTCATATAAAGCTTATGTTATTCTATATTCTGTAGTCATTATTTCTTAAAGGACAGTGATATCCATTCATGTATTCAGTATCAATTTATTTGGCCTTCTTCACTCAGGAAGATTGTTTCCTGTTCTTTGCTATTAAAAGTGCTTCTACAAATCCTCCTTTTGTTATTGACATCTTTGGGGTATTCTCCCATCAGCAGGATCTCTGGGGCAAAGGGAATGGACATTTTAGTCCCTTTCAAAAAAAAATGTCTAAATCCAAGTTGCTTTCCAGAATAGCTGGATGAATTCATTGCTCTATTGTATCTGATTTTCCCAACCCCCCCCCCAACATTAGCAGATGATTGAAATATCCGGAATAAGGTGAAACCTAAGACTTGTTTTGATTTGCATTTCCCTTGTGATTTGAATCAACCTTTCATATCTTTGTTATTGGTTGACAAGTCTTGTTTCAAAATAGTTGTATCCACTGATCAATTTATTGGAAAATGGCTCTTGTTCTTGTATTTGTTAGTTCCTGATATATCTTAGATAGGCTCTTACTAGATACATTTGATGCAAAGTTTTCCCCCAATCAACACATCTCTTCTTATTCTAGATAAACTCATTTTGTTCATGAAGTTTTTCAATTTCATGAGATCAAAATCACATATTTTGTCCTATATGCTTTCTTTTGTCCTTTGGTTAAGAACTCTCCTATTGGCCATAGCTCTAAGTGATGTGTTTTGATTCCATTTTTTAAAAATGATGTGTTAATCTTTAAGTCTTGTATTCGTTCTGAGCCTGAACTCCTATAAGGTGTTCAATTACATTTTTTGCCAAACTGCCCTCTAGTTTTACCAAGTATTCTTAACAAATGAGGAGTTCTTCACCCAGTAATTTGTATTCTTAGGTTTACAAAAATCTGGATTATTGAATTCAACTCTTTCTGGTTGTTCTACTTACCTGTCTTCCAATTTTTTTTAAAACAAGTTCCAAATAGTTTTGATAATTATTGTTTTATAGTATAATTAGAGAGCTGGGAAGTGCTTCATTTCTCCTTATTTTCTTTACTTTACTTGAGATTCTAAACCTTGGTTCCTCCAAATGAATTGTTATCATATTGTCTATAAAGTATCTCCTTTGTAGTCTGGTATTGCAACAAATCTAGATATTTCTCTGTATGTTTCATACACATTTTTTACTGCACTATGACACTGATTGTATGCATAGACCAGTTTTCTAGCCGTTTGGCTATCAACGAGCATCCTGCCTACCCCAATTTTTTGGTACCATGAGTGCTATGAATATTTCAGTTATATATTAGAGCTTTATTTTTGATTTACTTCATTGAGACACATGCTCCAATTGCTGCATAAAAAAAAAAGTATCATTTATTCTCTTCCTTGCATAACTTCAAAACGATGCCAGGATTGTTGTACAGAATCAACAACATATTAAGTGCAGGTGTCTTCTGACAGCCCCTTCTACACTATCACCATTGCCAAATTTGAAGGATTGTTCTAATTTGCATTTCTCTTAGTAATTTGGAGCATGTTTCCATATGCTCTTTGGTAATCTGAATTAACTCATCATTTGAGAAAACTATCTTCATATCCTCTGACTACTTGAATCTATAGGGGAATGGCTCCTAGTGCTAGATATTTTACAATTTTCTATTTATCTTGAATATCAGATTTGCTGTATTTGATGGCAATGTCTTCCTTATTCTACAGTTTCTCTTCATGTTCTACCTTTATTAATTTTATTCATTCAAAAGCTTTTTAATCTAATGGACAGCTTGAGACTTCCATTTTTTCAATAAAGAAAGATTCAACTTGTTCTTTCAGGAGTTTTGGGGAGAGGTTTTTCAATAACATGAGGATGAAAAGCTGAAACATTGACAGGTGTTTTCTCTGAAAATATACTATAATATTCTGTTCTCTTCCAACCCAGGATGTTAGCTTCTTAAAAAGGCAGGGTAGCAACAAAGACTATTTATTTAGTTTGATTTGTAGTTCCTTCCATTAAAAGTGGCAACAACAGTGCTCTACACTTAATAGAAGATACTGACTATTTTTTGTGGAGAAGTAGTGATTAGGGCTATACCGACTATGAAAGAGGTATACAGTTCTGGTTTTGAGGTAAAGAGAACATAGTCTTGGATTTAAGTGAGCTTATGAATAAACAGAGGAAAGGGGATGTAGACAAGCATAATCCAAAGTAAAACATGACAGGATCAAAGATGAGATGCAAAATTCTTTAGGAAAATAATTAGGAAGTGATCATAGGCCACTTTCAACTGCAGGATAGAGGGGTGAAGGAAATCAAGGAAGATTTAATGGAGGAAGTAGTAACAAAATGGGTCCCAATAAGAAAAGGAGATAACAAGCCAAAATCAAGGAACAGCACAGTCTGAGTGGAACAGAATACATAGCTTAAAAGGGGTTTTAATTTCTTCCTCCTGGCCACAAGAAGCCACCTAACCTCTTGTGTTTCGTGGACCCCCTCTGGCACTCTGGCAAAACCCATGGACCCCTTTTCAGAGGTTTCTGAATGCATAAAATAAAATGTGAAGGATTACAAAGGAAACTAATTATATTGAAAAAGAATTATCAAAATTATTTTTTTTTAAAAAGTTCCCAGACCTTACACTAAAAAGTTTTGAAGAGATAAGTGACATGGCCATATTTGTGAATTAGATTATTTTGACTTGAAGAAAGAACTAGCAGGGCATGTATTATAAGAGTCCAGGTGAACTAAAGTGGTGACAAATGAAGATGAGAACATGCCAAAAAGACTACAGAGGTGGAATCAACAATTCAATAATACTTCATTAAATGTTTTCTTTAGATTTTAAAGATGTTTTCCTCATTTACATTCTAATAACTGAACTATACCCTTTAGAAATCTGTTCTTTCCTTCCTTCCACATGGTGAAAAACAGATGCGATGAAATATAGAACTTTTAAAAGTCAGAATACTTAAGAGTTTAATCATTCAACTTTTCAAAAATATCTTTTGACAGTAAAAACCATAAGTTTTCTTAATGATATTTATTTCATAAATGTAGTTATCCCTCTAAAACATATTAAAATAGAAAACATGTTCTTTTGATCAATTATACAAAGAAAATACCAATATAGTAATAAAAATACTGAAAATATATGAAAGCACCAGAACATTAGAATAATTACACTGGCAACAATTCTAAGAATATATTTCTTGCAATTGTACAATAAAGTGCTATTAAATTCAGTCAAAATTAGTGGCAAAATTTGAAAAGTTATTGTATTATGAAATTGAGGCTAGGTTCATCAGTTACCACAATTCTAGGCTACTTGCTAATCAATTCCATGACAAATGGTTTTTTTTAGCTTTCAAAATGAAAACTGGTTTAAAACATTTAAATGTTGGACCTCAATAATCGGTTCATGAACAATTAATGACAATTTTGAATATAAAAGCACTTAGAAGACAAATTGTATAGAACCAAAAAAACGACAGTACATATACGACACTTGAGATCAGATGAAATCAAACACATAATAGATATAAGATTAAGTATGAAAGGTAAGTGTATTGAAGCTTTTGATTTTTATAGCATATTTTCAGTAATTCTGCTTACTTACAATTAATCAGCACATCAACATTAACACCTTTATACCAGTGAATCCAATAATGAGAGATTGATCAAACTTCAAGCAAGAACAGTTAACATTACTGCATCTTGAAACATTAAAGGGGGACACTGTTAGGACAAATAATTTTCAAAGATGAGCTGACGATTTCTTAAGTTGGCAGGAACAAAAATACACATACTTGGAACTTGATTATTTAAAACCAATAATGCAGCACACATAAAAAACCCACCATGCACATACACTGACAGAAAATCAAAAGTACTTAGTAGGGTGGAGAGTAGTCACTTTCACATCTGGAGTTCATAAACTGAAATAGAAAAACTAAATTAAGGAAAAAATATCACACCAGTGTCCTTTTAATGTTTTAATGCCTAGACCACCAATCTGAGGAATCTCTAATCTACTAATATTTATAAATCAATTTCTATAGAGCCAATCCCTAAAGACAGATGGTCACACCTATAGCAGAGTAAAACAACCAACCAACCAAACAACAAAAAAAACCCTTGATCAAATCTCAAGATTTATATTACAAGTATATTTGTTCTCTCATACATAGTTGGGACTGTGAGCTGAACATTGAAATGAACATCAAATCAAACCTCTGATCTTAATTATTCAATAATTCCAGTACCAAGGCAGAACACCAAACAAGTCAAATAATTATGCATAAAAAATCTCATGGTCTTATCCAGGCTCTTCCTCCTCTTCTAAACAGAGTTGACAGTCTCATATCACAGTACTCTTAGAGATACCCATATTTCCTAAGTTCTCTTTAATGCAAACTGTTTTCAGCCAGGAATGTATATGAATTAATATCATTATATTTCTCAAACAAAAGCTTTCAAAAAAACCTTTCTGAATGAATGACTTCCACAGGAAATCAAGAGCCTCCTCTATTTGGGGGAAACGGGGAATTTTGATGGTAGTGTAACTTCAGGATTACAAATGGCTAGTCAGGCCTTCGTAAGAGACAAAAAAAATTAAAAAAGGCTGAGTATGGGTAAAACAGATTTTCCCCCATAAACAAGTTTTGTCTACATGTGTCATGGTAATTCCTTTTAAAAAAGTGAACAAGAGTTGCTTAAAAAAAATATTTTCTGGGAAAATATGATATTATGAAAAATTTCAAAGTAAAAGCCACAAAAGCAAAGTTGTTAGTTTTAAACTGATTATATCTAAATCAAAGTATTAGTCAAAAAGACCTAAACTCATAGAAGGCAGGTTGTCAAGGAATACTGATAGGAAACAAAGACTGAATGTAGTTTGGCATAAATAGTTTTACATTCCGAAAGAACATTGACGATAACTGGCTAGTAGTTCTCAAAATTACAAAATCATGATTACATAAATTACTCTGCATAAGTATGTTTTCTTACTCAATATACACTTCCTTTATATACATAGTATAGAAAAGCTAATGCGTTTGGCTCAACTACAGTAGTTCAGTTCCATAAAAAAGGCAGATTATATCTTTTGGCTGCAACAAAGCATCTGCTTGCATTTTCAGTTCAGCTTATAAGAACAAGATAAAACTGAAACAAGACATATTTTTAAATACTCCAACCAAAAGGAAAAAAATAATTTATATTCAGAATAATAACATCCCATAGTTTTATTTTCACTCGTAACTAGTCACTATAGTCAACTTCTTCTGTGTTCTTAATGTAGATCCTCATTCTAATATTCTTCTGTTTTCATGACAGACTGGCTCCTCTTTGTCATTCACTTCTTAAATGGCAAAGAATATCAGAGAGCTGTACTTTGGTCTCCAGGGAGCATATGCATACATGACTTTTTTTTCTAACTGGATAAAGTTTAGGTCTGATTCCTCTTCATGACAATTAGGAGAGCCAGCTATGTCTCTTACAGAGTATTACTCCCTTGACTATATAGCAGATAGAAGCAAGAAGTGGCAAAAGCAAGTAAGAGCAGAGTTAAATAAAACAGCAGCTGTTGAAACCAGAGACAACGATCAACTTCATCCTGAAGTTTCCTATTGATGTCTAGTAAACGGGTGAGCTGAGAAAAAAAGAGATGAAAAAACTGCATCCATAAAATATTATATTTATCATGTGAATGCTGAATAGGCACATTTGAAATCCAAACGCTTAGGTAATAAAATTAAATGTAAACAATTAAGTAATGTAATTTGAAATCCATATACTTAAGTAATGTAACTAGATGGAGAAAAATTGACTAAAAGCTATATATGTAGCACCAAAATACATTTGTTATGTGAGTTTGTGCCTGCTATTTGTAATTCAAAAAGGTCTACTTCTGTAGGGAAGGAAAAAAAAAAACAAAGCACTAACCTCTAGAGGCAGAGAAACTTTTCAGCCACCAGGAGCTATTCATGTTCACAGAACATTAAAGTGGGAATGGAATCATTTAATTCTACCCTTCGTAATTAACAGGTAAAGAAACTGAGGCACACAGGTGAAATAACTTCTCCAAAGTCACATAATCAGGGACAAAGGCAGGCTTCCAAACCAGGTTTTGTAACTCCTGGTGGTAAAGTCTTTTCTATTACATTATGCCACCACTCTCATACTATCACCCCTGTGACCATCCATCAACCACCAATCCAACTGACAACACAGTACCACCATAAATCAATTTGGCTGGAAGAAATAAAATTACTATAAACTAATCTAGTGTACTAAATACTACTTCCCCCTATTAGATATTAGAGATCCCTAAAGGCAATGGTTTTGTCAACTTACTTCAAAACCCCCAAAGCACTCTGTGCATTGCAGTTGTCTTTTCATAAATAAATAATTGGGGTTTGAAAGATTTACAACTCGAAAAGATAAAAATTCCATCCACTGTCTATTTAGGTCTTCCCCAAGAAGAAGCAATAAAACACTTTTTTCAATCTCTAATATAAAAACATTTTTTTTTCTTTAACTTGGAAAAAAAATGGATTTCTGATGTTGACAAAGGTGAACAGTTTGAATTTGATCTTAGTATTTAATTTAGAAAGAAATAAAACTTACTTGTAAATGTATATCCTCATTGCTTTTGGATGGAATGTTAAAAGAATTTTCTTTTAATGTAAGAGAAGATGGTTTACTGCTATCAACGTGGCATCTTAACCTGTGAAAATTGTCTTTAATCTCAGTATACAGTATTCAGCAGAAACACAATTCAAACATTTAAAAATTTGAAAAGTCCCTTCCTAGAGTAAGGAGGCCACGTTACCCATCCCCCATCCTCCTGATTGGTTCTAGTAATCAAAATTTATTAATAGGCAATTTCTACCTTTCTGTTCTGACTGGCATTTTAGTGAACCTACTGTTAACACCTTAAGTACACTGAAAACACTGATGAGATACATAAGAAAGTAGAAATTCAGGGTAATATTATGAATCTATGGGCTTTTCTTTCTTTAGAAAAATCAGTTTTATAAAAACTGGGACTTAATATACTTTCAAATGCATGAAAGTAATCTTACTTTGTTATATTAAATTATTTTAAAATGTTGTACTTATTCTGTTCCTAATAATAAAGAAAATTTTGAAGCCTGATTTAATAATTATTCTAAACAGCTGAACACATTTAACAGATTTCAAGTATTCTAATTTAAGGTAAACAGCTATATACCATTGAATCTTTTTTTTGCTTAATGGATAGTCTGAAGTTTAAACTACAGATAAGTCTAACCTGTGTTTACTTCCAACATGAGATCCCATGTATGTAAGACTACTCAGAACTTGAAAAGAACTTAATTCATTTTCTAGTTCCTTTCAATTATGTCACAGTTAAAGAATCACTAGTTTCAGACATCAACTTCTCTTTCTATTCACATTAAAGTTACTGTGACTGATGTCTCAGTCAACATAGGCACTTATTTATTTTTTACCCAACTGCACACCAGCTTACCTATGCTCCATTATTTTGCTTCTGGGTATATCCTTCCAGAACTGTGCCAGTTCTGCTGCCCCTGTACCACAAGACTGTTCCATTTCTGCAGCCATTATTAGAAAACGATCTTGAGGGGAAATTGTGAAACCTTCAGTCCCAAATAATTCAGCACAGCAATGATAGAAAAAGAGAGAAAGGCAAAGAAAAAAAAACAGGCAGATAAAAGAAAAACAAGGAGGTAGGTAAAGAAAAGAAAGAGGGAAAAATGTCACTTGCATGTCTGGATTAAGACACTTTTTTACTTTTCAAATTATTTTAGTAGCAGAACACCCTGATTTAATCTTTTGATCATAAGCCACAATTTTAGAACAATTATAAAAGGAAAAAGAGGAAAAGAAATGCTGATTTAATAAGGAAAATATTCTTCTAAAAATGAAAGATTCAGATTTTATTGGCAGCTAGTAAAAACTACCATTTGACAATGACTTGATTTAACTTACCCCCATGAAGTGACACCACTACATCTAATGATGAACCAGGGTCACAGCAAGTATTACTTGGCTTAACTCTATATTTGTCTGGAGCTGTTGTTCTTACCTGAAACAGTAAGTGCACTTAGGTAGATAAAGAATTCTAGCTTTACTTAAAGTCAATTTAATCCAATACAACAAGCATTTATTGAATGCCTACTATGTACAATGCACTATGTTAGGTTAAAAAAAGAAAGAAAAAAAATGAAGAAACTATCTCTGCTCTCAAGGAGCTTACATTCTACAAGGGAAGACATCATATGTACATAAGAATATGCAAAATATATAGAGAAAATACGAAGTAATTTCAGGAAAAGGAGAAAGAATGTAGATTTAAGGATACACTCCATGTAGGAAATGGTACTTGACCTGAACCTTGAAGGAAGTGAGAGTTTCTAAAAGACAGGGGCAATGAGAGAGAGCATTATAATCAGTGAGGCAGAAGACTGCCACAGCACAGGAATGGGGTATGGAATATTGAGAAGTGGCACATCCAGTGTGAGATGCTTTAAAAATAATTTGAAGGTGAAATGAACTAAAAAAAACCACAATATTTAAGCTAATGGTCTACTCTTCTGGAGGGATTAGGGTGGAATGCACCTCTGATTCACTAGTACAGTGAATTTACAGTAAGGAAACTCTTAATACCAATGAAGGTTGGCATGTTCTGAAACTTGGGAGTCTCAAGACAGCTGTCCAGAGCACTGAGAACTTGAATGGCTTACCCAGGGTGTCAGAGACGGAACCTAAACCTAGCACTGTCTGACTCAACAGTCACTAGACCAAACTGCCTCTTATATTACTTAAAAAAACCAAAAAGCAAAAAAGCAATCTTGATGGATAAGCATATAAAGTCTTTGTTTTAAAAGATAAATATATCAAATCCAGTGACCTAGTATTTCCCATGGTCCTTGCTGAGCAACCGTGAACACTTGGATTATAAAAATACATAATACAGGAAAAGAATGATTTGATTCTATAAAACCCAGAACTACACACTCAAAAAATTCTATGTATGTTTGTTCACTAATAAACCTTGGATACCTAAGATCAGTGAAGCAATTTTAATACATATTAAATATTAAAGTTTAAAACATTAGTGCACAATAACCATAAAAGTTAAATATACATGCATAAATATACATACATATATTAATATAGCTATATCTATATATGTTATAGGTATCATGTTCATTAATGAGATAAATGCTAAATCCAAACCTTGAAAATACACACACTGAAGGACTGCACTTTCCATTCTGTAATTCCATCTGTCTTTACTGATCTGATAAATTAAATTATTAATACCGTAAAGAAAGTGATTTGCTAGTATTTTAATTTGTGTTAAATTATTTAACACTTAAAGTTTAATGCTGAATATTATCTAATGATTCAATGTTAGGAATTCTGGAGACAAAGATTACTAGGGTAAATCAAAGTCCAAATAGGATAAAAATAAGTTATAATTCTACTTGTTTAAAAGTCAGAAACCTAAAAGAGTGGACAGATGACTACAGCTTTTAGAAGAGTTATGGCATCCCTTAAATTTATAGACAGACTCTTATGCTGTATGTTTAATCATCATTCTTTTGAATATTTTTTACTAAAATGATTCCTTCTCCAAAATTTGTCTGGACAACCTTATATACACCAGATGACTTCCTTAAAATTAATTAGGGAGCAGCTAAGTGGCACAGTAAACAGAGAACCAGCCCTGAAGTCTGAAAGACCTGATTTCAAATCTGGCCTCAGACACTTGACACTTACTAGCTGTGTGACCCTGGGCAAGTCATTTAACTCCAATTGCCTCAAAAAAACGAACCACACACAAAACAAATTAGACTGGTTTTGTGACATTTTGTAGATGTTAAGCAATTTACCTTAAATGCAACTACATTTCTTGTTACATTTGTGAGTACTATTAAGCACTTCTTCTCTCCAAATTCTTTGGATCCAAAACAAAGTTCTTCAGCAGGGCTATATGTAAACAAAAGAAGATTGCTATTTAGTCTGAATAATCCTTTGTACTACACCTACCATTAATTTCAATCAAAAACAAGCTAAATGTGTTTCTTTAGTACCTGTACTCAGACACAGAAATCTGCTGATATGAACTTGTCAAAAAAAGACAAAAAGTAGTTGTTATTCGACTTTTATAAACACAATATATGTAATTTATACAGTATTAGGAATTAGCCTAGGCCAAAACACAAAATAAGAAAATCGTAATGCTGACTCACATTTATATAGCCCTATAAACTGCTTCTCGTAAGTCTATGAGGCAGCCCATACAAGTATAATTATCCTTCATTTTAAAATTTAAAAAAAAAAATGAGGGCCAGGAAAGTAAAGTAACTTCCCCACAATAACAAAGATAAGTGCTAGAACTCAAGCCTAAAGGATTATTTTTCAAGTTTTTTTTTTCCTTCATCATACTCTTACCTCCTAAGAAAGAAAAGAACCAGGAAGAGTAGTTCATCAATCTCTTAATGTAAGAATTCAAAGTATATTTAACATCTTGGAAAGTTATTTAAAAATTACCAAAACACAAATAATTAAAGAACTGACAATTACAGCTATAAGATAATGAAAAGCACTGTTTTACAAAAACTGAGTCTAACAGCAAATAATAATGATTTGGAAGATAATTATAAGAATAGAATGTGATCAATATGAAAGTTTAAAATTTTGATATGGGGACACTTTTTTAATAATTAGACAAATTCAGCTTTACAAAAAACTAAAATAAAATTTTGGGTATAATTTGCAAGGAAGAATTCATGACAGAATGCTTACTGTTTTCAACCTAGAATTACTTTAATGATATTCTTTAATGACAATAATAATATAACTCAATAATACTTTTGAATTACAGTTTACTTGGTCAAATCACATCAGGCCTCTCTGAAGGACAATATAAACCAGAATATTTTGGTTCATTAAAAAAAAAAACCTAAAAAATTCATTTCATCAATCATCCCAACTTAAGGTTTTGAAGATTCTTCTTTGCATCAAGTATTTTTGGGTGTCAGAGAAGTTATCAAAAAAATATTAAGAATTTTGCTTGTTTCTTTTAAAAGAATCATCTTGGTCAACTTTTGATATGATACTAGCTTTACCTTCAAATGGAGAGATAGCAAGGATAGAATACTGGTCTTGGAGCCAGGAAGACCTGTGTCCAAGCTGTATATCTGACATATGTTGGCTGTGTGACCCTAGGCATGTTGCTTAAGCTCTTGGTAGTAGGTGCCAAGACTGTAAATTGCAAAGGTGATGACTTGTATTGGTAGTGGGTGTTTTCTCATCCAGGAAAGTTTTCTATATCAATGAAACTATAGGTCCAATTCCCAATCTCCTTAACCCTATATTTCCAAAAAGCAATGAACTATATACAACTGTGCTGTATTTCACAACTCTGTTAAAATAATTTTTTAAAAATCTTTGTTACACACACACACACACACACACACACACACACACACACACACACACGAGAACAGGTAACAAAATCTTGAAATCTTTACCTGATGTGCAATAGGACTCCTTTAAACATGCTCAACGATTTCTTTAAAGTTTTTATCTTGGAATCTACTTTATCAGACTCTTCTATTTTGGAAGTTTGTTCTACTGGGTTAATCTGTTTGAGGACAAAACCCAATAATTACATAGAAATGAAAGGTAATAAACCTATTGACAATTAAACAGTTTATTTATTCTATTGGAAAAAAATGGCAAAGGATGATGTTTCTATCTAATTAAAAATTTCTAGTTGACTTTTGCATCATTATCACCATCACCACCAAAAATATTTTTTGAGTGCTACTGTGTGCTAAGCTGCAAAGATACAGAGAAACTGCAAAACATGTCCACAAAAGATTTACAATCTCTAGGAATTCTCATTGAATCATATAATAGCCCCTTAAATTTAATTTAAATTATAACACTATACTACTATCTCTTCAGCCCACTGAGAATAATCAGCTTAGGGAGAATAAAATTATACACTGTACAGCTATATTGCTTCAACAAAGCAGCCAAAAGGAAGAAAAAACTGGTGAAACTTGTATGTACCACTTAATGTACAATGCCCTTTAAGATACACAAATATTTCCATGTAATTTTTTTCCCATCTCTTATACCGAATGTCATCTTATTCTTACGATTACCTTTCTGGGAATGACAACTTGTTCTTCACTGGAATTTGCTTCCCCAGTTTCTTTATTATCTGTTTCTATATCTTCTTTACTTTCAGTTTCATCTTCGCTGGTAATAGGTCCATTTTCACACAAAGGGGTTTGAAAATCATCATCCACTAGTGGCGGATAACTATATTTGAAAGGATCCTGAAACATAAAGAATAAAATATCAGTTATCATAAAGATGTTTGCAAGAAAAAGAAATAAATTATTTCCCCAATGGATTTAAAATGTACTTAGTCTTAAAGTGATGTTTTAGAAGTTGAATCATTTTAAAAAGCTTTTTATTTAAAAAGCTTTTTATTATATTTCTAAACTTTCAGCTACAAAAGTCCTATGAGGAAATGATTACAGAAAGTAAGAAATTTTTAAAAAGCTACGCTGTTTCTCATTTAAAGACTCAAGAAAAATGAACAAAAAGTTAAACTATGTAGATTTTTGGATTTGCTGTTCCTTGGCTCTGACCATCAGTGAAAGTTAGCCTAGTAATCAGTATATGATGTTAACTTGAGAGAAAAAATAAGGCCTTAAAAATAGTCCCTGCATGTTTTAATCGATACTTCCAAATAAGCACATACACTGCTCCATAAAATGTTACATTTTAAAAATGTCTTTAGCATCACTAGTTACAGCTTAAGATTCATATAACCTATAATATTTAACTGACATTCCCCTGGTCCTAAGTGCCAGTCAATCAGTCATAACAGAGGAGTTGTGGGGTTATGGAAAAAGAACTACAGCTGGTGTAAGAAGATCAAGTCTTGGCCCTTACACTCACTCACTGCGTTACTGGGCACAAGGTACTTCTCTCTCTGGGCTTCAGTTTCTTTATCTGTAAAATGAGGCAGCTGGACTAGAATCAGGGGTGGGGAACCTGCAGCCTTGAGGCCACATATGGCCCTCCAGGTCCTCAAGTGTGGCTCTTTGACTGAATCCAAACTTCACAGAACAAATTCTCACAATAAAAGGATTTGTTCTGTAAAACTTGGACTCAGTCAAAAGGCCCCACCCAAGGATCTAGAAGGCCACATGAGGCCTCCAGGCTGCAGGTTCCCCACTCCTGGAAAATGATCTCTAATACTTCTTTCATCACTAAACTTATGACCCACTTGGCCTAAAATCTACAATTAATTTTGTTAAGGTCAGATACATTTCTTTTTGTGATGTGTATTTATTAATTATATTTTAAGAAATTCTTACTTTACGATTACTGGGTACCTATGATTTTCCTCTACACAATAATTCTATTTTCCATTGCTGAATTTTTAAGGGTCCCTCCCCTCCCCCAACTAAGGAAAAATACAAGACTTTATCTACAAATATTTTAGACTTGTCAACCACCATACTTACAGTTCCACCCATGTGTGGGGGCAAGTATTCTACGCTGACGTACTCCTGCACTTCATTTTTACCAGTAAACTTCAACATGTTCACTGCTTCTGGACCAAGCCAGCCTTTCACAATTTTAAAAGCAGCTAGAGAATATACAATAATTTCATTAAATTGTTTCTTATTTAACTTCTTGCACACATCACAAAAGGCTGGTCTAAGAATAGTCATTTTTTTTTCTTAAAAGATATATTTATTAACATTTTCTAGTGCTAGAAGACAGTTATACCATTACTGTACTTTACAGTTTCTAAGTGCCTAACATTCAGTAAAGCCAAGTTGCCATAAGCATTATTCAGTTTGCCACTTTCCCCAAGGCTGTGGATCTTGCAGAAATTCATGGTAACTTCAGCTGCTACAGTCTCAAAGATTGAGTTCACTAATCACAAGGGTGGAATGAAATGGACAATGGCGTTAAGTAAACTGCAGTGTTTTCACTGGCACTGTTTACCCATGTGGGAGCAAGCTTGCATAGGTTAACTTCATGTCAGAACATACCTAATGCATACCAAGACAGTATCTCAGGTGCACTGCTTTGACATCACAATCAACAAGCATTTAAGTGTCTACTATGTGTCAAGCACTGTGAACAATCTGGGAACACAAGATTTCGGGTCCCAACTTTTTACCTCGGCTTTAGATTTTCTCTCATCTAAGAACTCTCAGCCTGTCTCCCAGAAGTTTTATTAACCATAATTGTGGAAGTCATCTAGCTGTAAGGGCAAAGAATGAGCTATCTTGGGAAGGGTAAAAATACCTACCATGGAACATCCACCAATGTGAGTGTTTGGTAATTCTCCTCTATAAGCCTCCATTTCGATTTAGTTAATATGGATTTTTTACTGGTCAAAACAGTCTGAAGCATATCCAGTGAAAAATAATGAAATATATACTTCTATTATGAGGCATGTGAATCTGTAGCCTATCTTCTCTGAGCTCATTTTTAAAAGGGTGGGAAAAAAAAAAGCTTTGTAAACCTTAGTGAATATAAATAAGGTTTACAAAGCTTTAACATAGCATATATATTAAGGTTTCTTTATGAATCTCTTTTTTCTCTGTCTAGAATTTTATGTATTTTAATATATCTTAAAATATATTTCAAAAACATACTCAAGATATAACGTGTATGTTAAATGTATGTATTCTTTAACCCATCATAGTTCAACTTGTCTTTCTCAATATATCTTTAAAATACTTAACAAATATATCTTAAACATACTTCAAATATATATTTAAATATATATTCAAAATATCTAAATTATGCTATATTTAATATAAATATAGTTTAAAATTGGATGTAAGCTCCTCGAGGGCAGAAGGAATTTCATTTTTGTCTTTGTATTCTCAGGATCTACACCACAGTGATATGCATACAGACACTTAATAAATACTTGCTGAACTGAACCAGCTTTCAACTATTATTCCATAACAGTTTTAATCAAAGTCTCAGGGGAACATTTCTGTTCATTTTACAAATTTGAAATTGAGAAGGAAAAACCATAACAACATTTTATACCTTGGTTAAATGTGTTATGATTTTTTTTTCTTGCACACTACATATATAATGTATATGCATGCGTATATATATGTACGTACATGTAATGTATATCTTTTTTTTCATGTTATTTGGGCCTAAACTTAATATTATGCCCACTGACTTAACTATAACATATCTATTTATTTTTATATACAAGATAATGATAGTCATTCTAAAAATTTTCATGGCATGGTAAAATGAAAATTGGGATATTTGGAGTCCAAGGACACAGACAAATCCTAGCTCTACTACTTAGCACTTGTGTGACTGTAAGCAAGTCACTTAAGTCTTAAGGCTTCACTCACTGGGAAAATAAAGTGGCTGGATTAGATAATAGGATAATAGTCTTTTATACTTCAAAACCTACTGTAACCTAAAGTTAGAAAACATGATGTGATACTTTTGTAACAAGTCTTTTGGGTACACCTACTGTTAAATCTATTCTAAGTATTCTGGCCCTAAAGAACTTTGGGAAAGAACAAGAATGTTTACATCCCGAGGCCTCTATAACTGTACCAATTTTTCTGACATTCTACAAAAAAGTCTCTGGTCAGAGGTTCACTGATAAAACTCTGATGCTTGCAGACAGATGCTTCCAAGACTACCTCTGAAGTCTAGATAGATAGACAGTCCAGGAATTTCAGGAAAGGCTTTAGATTCCAATTAGTTCATAAAACTTATTACCACCCTATATATGGATAAGAACAAAACATGAAGAGACTATGTGAGGGTAAAGGGTATTTTTGCTATATGAAAATTCTCAAGTAATAAAAACTCACCATTCATTATCCATGGCATATCAAAGACTACAATTTTTGCTGAAAGATAAAAGAATGAATGAATTCGATAAGACTTAACACTTCTATAAGATTAATTATCCATTTACATCAATCCTAAAAATAATTGGTCAAGAAGCTAAAACTAAAACTGAGAAGCCTGAAAACTGTATGGTCTATTAGTAGGTGAAATGTCCAATACAGAATACATAGCACCAACAACACTGGCAGACCCACATGTCATAATGTTGTGATTCTAGTACTGTCTCCTGGCAACTCTTATCAACCCTCAGTTCTTCTACTACAGCTGTTGTCTTCTAAACATGAAGAAATGTAAGAAAGTATTGAGTAGTTAGCAACCTAATGCTAACTACTGACAAATCAGTAAATGCGTGGGGAGAAAGGAGGATAGGGAGATTAAAAAGAGGCATAAAGAGGTTAGAGAATGAGAGGGAAAGGGAGCAAGGGAGAGAAAGGGAAAAGGAGAAGAAAGTATACACAGTGTTGCTATCAGTAGTGAGGGAGAGGTGAAAATTGGTCTATTAAATTTTGTGGGCCACTGAGTTTTTTGAAAAGTGATTTCCAAATCTGAGTTATATTTTTAAAACATTTATTAAAAATAGTTGTGCTATTAAACTCTACTGATTATTTTTAAATTAATATGTTCAAACAAAAATAATTGATATATTTAACATTATGAACTCTTAAGAAGCCTATATTTCTGAACACAAAAATATGATTTTCATATTGACAAGAAGATATTAAGCAGACATTTATAAATGTAAAAAAGGACTAGAAAATACAAAAGAGATTTCTGGCATTATCATACTCTTAGAATTCAGATGAAAAAAGTGGACCATCATTCTCCCAAGCATGCAGAGTTCCTGAAGTACATACATGTATTACAAGTAGCCAGTAATCTGAAGACAGATCACTCTAGTTAAATCTCTCAGATAAATTTAAACTAAGTCTCAAGTTTAAGATTTTACAATTACATTTTAAGCATAGAATTCAATTAAAATTGCAACTACTTTATAAAATTATTTTTTAAAATATTACATGCATACAAAACTAAATGGTGGCTATAAAAAACTTACTTTAAAGGGAATCTAGGTAGTCAAGAAAATACAGTACATAGAAAACCTTTAAAGAAGACTATCTTAAAGCTCTGATAAGATTCATATACACATTCACACTAATTAAAAATTAATCTTTCAATTTAATTCAGCTTACTGGCATTCAAATTCATTTTGCATAGGTTCTTTGCCCTTTAATGTGCTTTGGTTACTTCAAATAGCAGGCAAATATAACTATTCACAAGGTTTCCAAATTCCTTTGGAAAGCTTAAAACACTACATAAACTATTTCCATTAAAAAAAAATCAAGAAAACAAGAGGCCAAAGAGCAAATCAACACTGCCTCACAATGACCACTGATACTGACCTACATTCCTTAATAAATTAAGTGGATAAAATGAAGTCAGGGGAAAGCTAACACAACTTCAAAACGAAGGACTGACACTAGTCACACTGGCCTTTGGCTTAGAATACGGAGATTACCAGTATTCTTCCTGGAAACAAAGCTGAAAGGAATGCTCAGTAACCAGGAGATTATGTTAATCAATATAAATTCAAAAATCTGAGTTAGAAGGAGAAAAATATAACCATATCAAGCTTTCTTCTCATCTAGTATTTCACATTAGAGCAATACTCAGAGGGAAGTTAGGAATAAGTCATACCACAGCATCTGAGCTATGATACCCAAAAGAACACTGGTTATAGTGTTATACAAGGATTTCTGTGGTTGGCAATTTGAGTTTTTAATTTCTTAATCTTTCCATTTCCCCTCCTTCCTTTTAAAAAAGGTCTTCCCTTTGAATTTAGCTTAAACATGTTAGCATTTAATTGTTGAAATGATATATGCAATAAATAAAACGAGAATACCTAAGTTGCTACAGATTTTTTTTCCTCTTAGGAATTAATGGAAGTTAAAGTACAAAAAAAATTACTTCTGTATACCAGACCCTCTGAGCAAGAATTTTTTGTGATATTCTGTGGTTGGGAGTTAAATGAAATTTTGTGACATGCTGTCTCTTCTTTCTTCAATGTAAAAACAAAGCACCAGCACAGTAATTAATACTTGAAATGGATAATTTTAAAGACAGTTAACTATGATTATGTACATATGCATGGATAAATACATTTTGTGAAGCATGCAGATATATGCATGTGGTAAATGTATAAACCATGTAGATTTACTTTTATAAAGGATAAAATTTCTTTGTTCTGAAATCTGCGAATGTGCTAGGAGGCTTGAGTAATATTTTTCACCACAAAAATAAAAACCCCATAGGTCAAACTCTCCCTAAGTGCCAAAACAACTTCTATAACTAAAATATATAAAGTCTATAAAAAGAAACCAGTTACTTACTGAGGTATTTAGGATAATAAACCTTAAAGCAGTTGATGATGAATCGAACAATATCCATGTCCTAAAATTAAGATTACATATTTAATAAATGAAGATTTCAACACTACAGAATTTAAACGTAACCTGTCAGAAGAAAATGGATGTGCTGACCACAAATGAAAAAATGTAATTCTGAGCTATCATTAGACACTTCAGAAAGTGAGTTGGTGTTTGAACACAAATCCCACCAAACTTCTTGGCGCCTGCTTCCTATGAGGTACACTATGCAAAGCGTGATAAAAACCTTAAAGCTCTCATTAACGTACATCTAATCTCTATAATAATATATAATTATAATATAATATTATAATAAAGATCTCTATAATATCAATTATAATGTATACAGAAGTCAGATTTATTGCTATATCGAGCTTGGCAGCGTGCACAGTAGGTTGTGCCACCTTGAACAAGTCTCTTGAGTTCTCTCAACTGTAAAATGAAAGGTTGGGACCACTCTGTCCCTAAAGGTCTATGATGTCACATGTATGTGCATCCTCCAGGAGCTCCATCTGTCCTAAATTGCACTGTGGTGGGAATTGTGAGTGATATTTAACTATGAAATATGAAAGAAACCTCATATCCTAATTTACATGTAAATGAATCCTGGATTAATAGTGGTATATGAAACTATTATTTTTGTAAAGTTAGCATTTTCCTATAGGGAGTTGCTTTTAATGGGAATATACAATATAAAGAATTTAGATTAAAAATAAATTACAATTAATCATAATAAAGTACTTCCATAGCCAACAATCATCTCGATTTGACCTAAAACTAAGTATCTCTGCCTTGCCTTTTACCATAAGTAAAAAGTAAGGTTCTAGAAATAACTATTAGCTATCCTGCCTATGTCTTAAGAGTGAAAACATAAGAATCCATACATTCATCACAAACTTATCAAGTTTTACTTGTCTACCAAAATAAAATAATGTGGTACATGAAAGTTTTTGATAAATTTTATAGTACATATCGAAAAGAAAATCCCAACCTAATCTTTAAATTTCAAATTCCATTAAATGTAAAAGGCATATGATTAAATCAAAATTAAATCAAAATGTGTGCACATGACATCTTCTTGGATTGAGATCTATGGAACTGATAAGACCACATCTTTGGCATTAGTTATGATGAAAAATGGTATGTTTATCTTGAGAATATTAAAATGAGCAATTCTAGCTCTGTATATCCTTGAATCATATAAAATGTATTAAATGTCACATAATACTTAAAACACTTGAGATTTTAAAAATAGAATATTTTACTAGTTGAAAGATCATAACAGCATTTATTGGTATTGGAGAAAATTCCTGAGACTGCAATTCCCCACATTAAATGACCTGAAATGATTCGAGACTTAAAAACAAGACTGGTTTTCAAACTTCATTTATTCAATCATCCATGCCCTGCCAAAAGAAGAACAAAAAAAGGGGCAGCTAGGTGGCGCAGTGGATAGAGCACCAGCCGTGGATTCAGGAGGACCTGAGTTCAAATCTAGCCTCAGACACATAACACTTATTAGCTGTGTGACCCTGGGCAAGTCACTTAACCTCACTGCCTAGCCAAAAAAATTTAATAAAATTTAAAGAACAAAAAAAGTATAACAGCAACCCTCTTACTCTCTTGTGTTGACATAGCCCTCAAATGCTATAAAAAGAGTTGAAATGTCTTATACCATTAATAGTTTTCTCAAGATATCAAATAACTTAGATGAAATACAGGCGAAGCTTGGCTGATAAAAAATAATACTACCATCTAATAAAACCTAATTCTTATCCCTCAGTCTTCAATGATTAGGTATGAAACAATGACATTTTTCTTGCATCTGATTTCAACATGAAAAGTTTAAAATATAAAATAGGCAGATGCACAATGTCTTCAAACACCATAAAACTACAGATTTTAAATAATATTTAACTTCCCCAAAATTGACATCTATGCTAATGTTTATCTATTTATATCATTTAATTTTAGTCAGAAACTTATCTTTCTTATGCCCAATCTAGAATGACCAACCTAGGTAGTCAAGGAAATATAGCACATAGGAAACTTCCAAAGAAAACTATCTTAAAACTCCTTTAAGATTAAAATATGAGCACAAAAACTAAAATATGTCAGGTGATCTCAACTGCCTCTAGGGCATATGGGGGTATGTAGAAAGCTCTGAGGCAACAAAAGACCAAATCTGAGACTTGTTGGTTTTACACATTAAATAAGTAAGCACCAGCACCTAGAGAAAAGCTCATAAGCAAAGCCAACCCAAAAGAATTTATGTAGAACTTCTATCAAGTAGCCAGAGAGAATATGGGCAATTTCCCACTGTTAAGGTTTGCCTGGAGAAAAGTAAATTTATATCACAACCAAATGAAGATATCCTTTGGTATAAAAAGTCGTCTTTTTTTTTTTCTGAACCTTATCTCTACCTACCATGTTGACTGATTAAATATCATTACTATTAGTAGAGGTATTTTACTCTTGAGTATAGCCAAGCAAGAAGACTTTTAGATCAAATCTATTTTGTATTATAAATGTCCGATGTTTTGGGGAAAATCATAAAAAAAGAAACAAAATAAATCTTTTGCTCTTATACAATAAGCTTTCCTACAAAGTCTACCACTTTAATTCAAAATAATGAAACAATATAATAGTGACTGAATTCAATCACTTAGGTATAAATTGGAATCATAATTTTTGAGAAATCACAGCTTAAGGTAAACCAACTCAGTACTGTATCACAGCTGTTATTGGGGGTGTGAGGGAAGTAAAGGAGAGCTTTCCCCTTTACAGCCATAAACTTTACTACATAAGTACTGATTACTGGAAAATAAGAAAATCCCTAAATATCATGAAATAGACCAATTATCCTGAAAGTTAAAATTATAATGTCAATGAAAATACTTACTATGTTACTCAGTCCAGTTTCTGACATGTCAAACATCACTGTTAAGGGCTTTCCATTTTCTCTTTTGGCATAACGTTCTAGCCAGAAGGCTACAAGCTTCTTTTTGTCCAAAATCGTTTTATTGTCTTTTGTATGAAACTTCACTCTGAACCAGACTTGAACCAGAAGAAAAAGTAGAAAAAAACTGTAGAAACATTAAAATTTTCCAAATGCAAAAAGATCATGATTAATGTCATTAATTTTCCTTGACATATTGCTTTCTATTTCATTTTTCCAGAGATGAAGAATATGATTGTTTTTATACTGTACTACCTTCACTGGAAGGCAATGTAAAACAAAGAAAAAGTCAACTGAAAAGTATTAAGAGGTAAACTCAATTTTGCTGTGGGAAATTAATGAATTGCTTCAGTATATTAAAAAAAACCCTTCAGATAATTCTGTTTTAATAAGCTTGGGTAAGTTTTTATAACATAAATAGGTACGTACTTCTCACCTACTAGTAACTGGAATTCTAACAAACGTTCTAACAAGTGCTGCTATTTTAGTAATGTTCTTCCAAATAATGTTTCACTGATGTCAAGCTACAATCTCTCCAACTTTGTTTGCCACAGAGATTATTAAAAGCAAACACTAAATCACTGAATAACAAAATATATATTCTCAGATTTTATTTGCCAGAAAACTTGGTTGGGAATCAATTTGATAAAAGCAGAGTACTGGGAAAATGTTAGGTGATACAACTCACAACTAAAACGATCCTGAAATGCAAAAAAACAAACAAAAAAACCCACCCCAAAACCAGATAGTATTTAATGGGGATAAATATAAAATTGAATTACACAAGTACAGGATAAAGGCAACATGGTAGGTGACATTTCACTTAAGAAAAAAAAAAAGCTAGTTTTTAGTGGTTTGCAACTTCAGAAAGTGCATCAACAGTGTGATGTGATATGGTTGCCAAAACTTCTGACGTTGAAAAGCCAAAAAAGTGAGATAGAAATCCACATACACTTACATAATTTGTTGCCCTCTTTGTCATAGCCATGTAGATATACAGCACCAACCTCAAATAGCCATTTGGGAAGAGTGGATTCACTCAGGTCTAAAAATTAAAATATTTTGATAATTATCAGTGGTTGTACTTTAGGAGCCTTCCTAAATAAAACAGAAAACTAACAAGACAGAGATGATATCAGCTTGAACAAACCTCAGTAATCTTATTCAAACTTATAGTGCTTTGCACATAGTAAGCACTTAATAAATGCTTTTTTTCATTCATTCATTCAAATTTACAAAGACAAAAAAAATAAAAAATTTATACTTGGACTAAAATCTTTCAATTACTTAAAGAAGGGTAGGCAATATGCTGTACTAGCATATTTAACAAGTAATGTTAAATTAACTAAGGAAAGGCTTTCACATATTGCATAGACCCACTATGGATGTCTCTCGTGAAAAGTCTATACTAGAAAAGAGTTTGATAAGATAAACTGTAGTTTTCTTTACCCCTTTCAGACTAAACTGTTCAAAAACTAATCTAAACACTACACATACCTCAGATTGCTGCAGTCTAAATGTGGGCAAATTCTGTTAATCCACTTGTGGCTATTTCTTTTTGAAAAGTGTTACTCTAGTGATCCATCAAGTTGAAAGATATCAATATCTAGTTATCTATACAAATTGAGTACTTGAATATGATACAATATTATCATACCATTAAAAAATGCCCATGAAGAATTCAGAGAAACATGAGAAGAATTATAGGAACTGATCCATTAAAATCCAGGAAAAACTATTAACACGACTCCAACAATGTAAACAGAAGGAACATTAATAAGAAACTAAATGCTATCTAGTAATAATCAAGCTTGGACTTAGAAGAGTTGCTAAAATGCATTTCCTTCCTTTCATTGGAGAGGTAGGAGGATACCTGCATGGAATATTGCATAAATTGTCAGATGGTTGACATGGTTGGTGTTGACAAACTATTTGTTTTCAAATTTTTCTTATAAGCAATGGCTCATTAGGTAGAGGAAGGAAAAGGGATATGTTTAGAAACGAATATATCCAGTCCACAATTTTTCTTTTTAAAATTGTTCATATTCTTTGATGACATATCTTCTGGAGAATGGTGGTTAGACTTTTTTTTTCTTCTTCCTGCATATCTGAGATATTTATTTTAAAGATATTTCCCCCCAGGACCACTCCTCTTCTTATTCTTGCTGTACTAGTTTTTTTCCTGTAAAAGCTTTTAAATTTTATGTAGCTAAAGTAGTTTTTTCTCTCTTTTATGATAACCCCTATCTATCCTTTGGTTAAGAATTCACCCCAAGCCATGATTTTACAAGGTACTTCCTTCCATTTCTTCTCTAATTGTTTATACTAAGGTCAAGTATTCATTTGCAATTTATTGTGGTACACAGTGTAGTGCTGTTTCATGCAATGGCATAATTGTGACCTTCAAATCATGAAAAAGAAAAACAAGACCAGCCAGAATATAGCTCTTATAATAACTGAAACAGCTTACAATAATAATAAATATAATTATATTATGTTATAATAATTATATTATGGCATATTATATATAATAATATATTATATAATACTATAGTATATAACATTATATTATATATAATATAATTATAATATACTAAATATAATAATAATAAACATACAATAACTGAAAACCACTATTTTCTCTAGAAAGACATATCACTTTATATGTCAGAGTATCTTCTTCCTTAAAATTTTTAAAGTCAGTTTCACATTTTATAAAGTTGGACTCAACAAAATCATCTTATAAAACCCTGCATATTTTAAAACCAAAGTCTTATTGTGATGTCCTAGTTTAGTCCAATCACCAGGAACCGTCCGTTATTCTATTCAATACCCCTTCCCTTCTGCCTCAAGTCCCTACTAGGGTTACTCCATCTGCTCTAGCCCACCTTTTGTTGGCATTCCTACATTTCCACCACTTAGTCTTGTGTGAACAAAGTATGCCTCCCTGTCTGGCACATTGGGTAGAAGGGGAAGTGCATTATCTATTTTAAAATTTCAGTTTAAAAATAAGAATTAAAACTACCCATACATGTATTACCTTGGATCAAGTGGAAACTACTTATTTAATTAATAGGACGCAAATCTGTAATGGAATCAAGAGCTGTGACAACCTGTGGTACCAAGGATGGACAGTGGGAAGAAAATGGTTTGAAGAAAGCAATCTAACAAATGTAAAAACTTCTATCTGATTTACTTGTCATTTTCCAAGAACCTGTGAAATTTTCTGCTTTGTGTTACTATGATATTAATCTATATGAAACATATTTCTGATCTGAATGAAAAGACTGATTCCAATTCAATCTACAGCTAAGTGATTCAGAGATAAGTATAAATTAATATTATGACTGCTTCTCAATGCTTGATAACTTTAAGAAGGCTTCCAAATACTTCACTGTTTTTTACAACCTACCTCTAATTTCTTAGAGTTGCAATCAGAATGTTTTTGAAATGCTTAGTTCTCCTAGACCCATGAAGCTTTATATTTGAGTGAAAAAAAAAACAACTTGATGTTGATTTTATGTGGGAAACATTAGCTTTTTATTTTAGTTAGCCCTCTTTCCAAGTAAAGTGACACTGTGATATGAAAAATATATCATTTTTTAAAAAGTCACTGAAGACACTTTGAGTTGATTCAGCTAAGTGATGCTCCCTTGTTTGAGTGGACCAGATACACAGAGAGCTGGCCTGGAGCATCTAGTGGCTGTTTTATACTCAGGTGACAAGGAAATGAGATCAGTAGTCTAGGCCAACCAAGTGTTAAGAATGGTCTTAGTATCTTTTATGGAAAAATTACTCTAATTTTATTGGGATGTGGGGTTAGGATACTACTCTTGCCACACTTGGAAACCTAACCAGCATTTGCAATGTTTCTGTGTAAAAATCTTCAGAGCACATCATTATCTAGACACCCAGGGCAGCTATGGGAATTAAGATGAAGAAGCAAACGGAAAAAAGGTTTTAATGAAACTAGGGGCTACATACATGTGTGAAAAAGCTAGAGGGGCTGTTTCCATTTAGTTGATGACCCTTTACTTATGCCCCAGAACTCTCAGATCTTAAGTCTCCTACTACCCAAACCCTAAAGAAAGGAAAATGTTGTTCTTTCCCTTTCTGCTGTGGCCATGAGGTCCACAGTCATTTTTTTTTTTAAAGGATATCGCCAGCAACAGGAATAGAAGCCAACCAGTATTTATTAAGTGCCTATTTAATGTAGTGGAAGCTACCTGGATCAGTGAATACTTTTTGCTCTGTGGTGCTCAAGATAAAAATCTGCTCTATAAGTTAGAGATTCATGAATTAGATATTCTTGTGTCAAGAAGCACTTGTATAAACTTGCATTAGTTCTCTAGTATATAACCTAGCCTAATTCATTTTTGCTTTCTTTGCATAACTTTTGCTATATTATTAGAAATAAGGAAAACTTTTTTTTTTACCTGATCCAGCTTACTGATAGTGGTATTTCCCTTATTTTTGATCCTTCTTTGATTCAGGGACTCTTAGCTGCAGATCAAACTCTTTCCTTTTTTTAACCACTTCAACTATAAAATATCTTTACTTCAGCCCGCTGGAGAACCTAATGAAAGCTTGCTTATGTTTTCAAGTTTAAGAATACTCATAGCTTCCTTCTAGGCAATTTATTATTCTTGGTACCACTAAGATATCTTACATGAAATTTCCCCAGGTCTAAATGAGAAATTTATGTTTATATTCTACTTTTTGTAACAAACACAAGGAACATTTGCAAATATGCTAAATAAATATAAAACATCAATATATTATCAACATAATTACATTTGAATAAGCTTACCATTGACAGCAAATTCTTTCCTCCACTGAAAACTTTCATCAATCATCTTCAGTGTTTCATCTACCACATCATGCCGCCAACACAAAAAACTTTCAACCCAAGTATCATCCTGCTGTAGTTTTTCCACATCTCGTGAATCATATTTATCTGACTTATCTGAGAAAAAACAACTAATGTCATAAATAGGAAAAAAATGTATCTTGTACAATTAGATTTACTGATGTTATAGTGTAATTAATAGTTTATTTGTAGAGGACAGATGACTGTATTAAGTCCAAATGAAAATTCAATTTAAAAGTATAATGAACTTTTTTAAGTGTGGAAAACATAAAATTCTTCAAGGGGCATATATTTAATTCATAAGATTTAGAGCTGGATGGGAAAATGAAGCTAATATAGTCCAACAATTTCATTCTTCAGATAAGGCATCAAAAAGCCTAAAGAGCTACGTACCATATCCAAGGTCACACAAATAGCAAGGTATCAGAGCTACGAGCATTGAATTCCAATTCCTTTGACCTAAAGTCCAGTTTTGTTTTGTTCTTCCCCATTATATCATAATGCCTCTCAAGTGGAATTATACTGATAAGTGTGATACTTTAAAAAATAACACTTTAAATTTAATTTAATATTAGCAACTTTGGAGGAGCCTGAATTATTCGACATGTATTCTCTCTCTTAACAAGACTAGTACATTATAACTGAATATTTAATTTTTCCTTTATGCCTAACTATGAAGAGGCTACTTTACCAGGCAAACCTTGAATGAAATGTACTTTCGATTTCATTAAGCTAAATGCTGAGTATTTTTTTCTTTTTACCTTCAAATCATTTTAAATTGATGTCTTTTGTTTTTATATCACCTCCCTTCCCCCCCCCCAGCCCCAGATACACCTTTCTCCCACTATAACACTAGGAATCATCCCTTATAACTTCTATTCCTCCTTTGGCTAAGTACACTCTCCCAGCAATAGCTGTGAAAGGTCCCTAATTTGGTTACTGTCTTCTTTTTTTTATGGTGTTCATTTATATTGATGCTGTCTATTTATTTTAAATTTATTTTGGGAACTGGGCTAAATCTAGGCATTCAACTAATCATGGCCAACCATGACTAACAAATATCCTAATTATAAGTCATTATTTCTTTAAAGAATATTTTGTAATTATATTTATATAAGCCTTAAAAGTGTTTTGTTAGGTTGATTCTGCATATTTCTTTTGTAAAAATCTTTTCACTACTTGTGAGATACTAAAAGTTTTTGAAAGTCAAAGTTTCAATCACGATTTAATTTAGATTCATTAAGTTCTCCTATAGCTTTCTTCTTCCTACACTAAAATCTGTGACTACTGATTGATTGCTTTAAAAGAAACTCAAGCTTCTAAATTTGATAAAAAGTATAGTGACTCCAAATGCGAAGTTCTGATCTTAACCCATCTCTGTTACAGGTGACCTCTGGCAAATTACTTAACTTTTTTGAATCTGTAAAAGGGAATAATTAGACTTGTAGTACATTCTTCATGGCTACTGTAAAGATCAAATCAAACCTAAAGTTCTTTAATAATAAATAAAATTGAGCTCTGGCTGCCTTCATTATCCATAAGAAAGAACTATATAGTGTGTCTTTTCTAGGTAAACGTGATGAATGAAAAGGAAAACCTTAGATTTAGCATCATTTGCCTTTTACTACATTTTAAATTTTATTAAGAGTTTTGTCTTCACTCTCCAACATATAACTCCCCATTGAACTTACAGTAAAAACAAACTAGAAAATGAGATAGTAACCTTTCAGAAACAAGGTAACAAAGCTAACTCCTTTGGGAGTCAAGCAGAAAAGGGAAACTCAGGCAAAGTGGGTAACAGAAAGATGAAGGAGGACCAAAGACAAAGGCCTAATGGCCTTCAAGTAGCTGCTCTATCACAGTATGCTGATGCCTGCTTGAAGAAAGATCTTGAAGGCTTTGGGGTTCTTGGGGTTCCAAGCTACAGGTGCATGTTACAGATAAAAATTTATAACATTTTTTTTTAGTATTTGTCAATTCCCTTGAATTGAGTCTCTGACACTGTCAATGCTGCCTTAAGTGCAGCTGTTGGAACGTTCCAGTCTTAGAACTTCCATTTAAAGGTATGAACTAGGGAAGATAAATGTGGGCCCCTTTCCTCGAGTCTAAAAGGAAATAATACACGCCTTGCCTATCTCACAAGGTTTTCATAATGACTAAATGTGATAACATATATGAACGTGTTTTGAAAAAAATTAAATGTACTCAAAAGATATTATTAATATCACAATTTACAAATTTATGCATGGCTATGCTTTCTTGTGCCAAGCAGTAACTCAGTTGGCCTTATTTTCTTCATCTGTAAAGTGAACAGAGGAAAGGATGTTAGCCTAGATAACGTCTAATGTATATTTCTTCCATTCTGTGGCTTTGACTAGCACTCATCAAAGCGCTTTGTTAATGAATACCTTTGCTAGATCATAGAACATAAGAATTCAGTAGTTAATGGTACTCTTAATATTTGGCTTATACTTTGCCTGACTGCATAGCAGTTTTTGCCAGTACAGCAGCTTGGGCCTATGTTTCTCCTCTTCACTTTTTATGGGGTCCTCAAAAGCAAACTTACTGTCAAGACTACTCATGCCTGTACTTTCCTGTTACATATTTTATTAAATTTTGTAAATGAATCATAGAAGCATTCATTTTGATTATTCTCATCTATTTCTATTTTATTTTATTATTTTTTTTTAGCAATTGGGGTTAAATGACTTGGCCAGGGTCACACAGCTAGTAAGTGTCAAGTGTTTGGTCTGAGGACACATTTGAACTCAGGTCCTCCTGACTTCAAGGGCCAGTGCTCTATCCACTGTGCCACCTAGCCGCCCCCTATTTCTATTTTAGAAGTTAATGTTAAGATCTGGAGTTGGTGAGTAGATTTTTAAAGTTCAGGATCTTGACCTGTGAGATAGTAATGCTTCCATACCTGGCCATGTTGGTATGTGGTTGAAATGAAAATGAAAAAGGAGATAATTGAATAGTTTGAAGAATTTGTAATTTTGAGGTTATAGGGACTGTCAACATGTATAATGAAATCCTCAAAGATGATGGTAAAGAACAATGTAGAGAGGAAAACAACGAGATAAACAGATGATAGCAACAAGGATAGAGGGTGGGAATAATCAGTAACATGGCTTTCAAAAGAAATTGTACTATATCAGATTGCGTGCCATTTTGGGGAGGGAGGTGGGGAGAGAGGGAGGGAAAAATTAAAAACTCAAAAGCTTACAGAAGTTATTCTTGATAAATCAAAATAAATTGATTTATCAAGAAAAAAATTTAAAAAAATTTTTTTTAAATTGTACCACTTTGTGAAATGGAAAAAGTTTCAATGAATGTGACATTCTCAGTGTAAGGCCAGGTTTCATATATCCTAAACTCATTCAAGACAAATAGATTCAGGACTGAGAAGGGACTTTAGAGGTATCCCATTTTTCAAAACCCACTTCACGAAGCAGAAAACTGAAAAACAGGGAAAATAACTTGCTCGATGACACACAGTCAGTCCCAAAGTCTGGTCTAGAATCTATGTCTCCTTGGCTTTTAGTTCAACATTCTTTCCATTATATCATGCTATCTTCTCTCACAAAGGCATAATAATGCTCTCCGGAAATAGGAATTCAACTTATAGGACTACCAGGCAAGGTTTGGGGAATGTCTGTTTTGCTTTAGTTGGCTCCTTCCTTGTTGTATGAAGGACATTTCTAAAGACACTTGCACAAATAATATCGTCTTTCAATTAGGTTACTTATGCCTAATATGGAATATAAAGCACAGTTTAATTTGTTGTTGTACTCTTAGTCCTCTGGCATAGGTAAATTTACGCTGTTTTGCTTAAAGGGTTGTCCAAACTGAGAAATGGGAGGGTTCCTGTTTTCTCCCTCCTGTTCCACAATGATGTATACAACCTAAATGAGATTTTTTCCCCTCAATTTCAGGTGAAGACAGCGTTCAGAATAATATCTTACTGATGTTCCTTATGCACGACCTTACTGCACCACCTACATCTTAAGTTTACTGAGGTTTCTGCATTCCAGACAAATTTAGGCCAGCTACCATTTCTTTCCTCCTTTCCACTCTCTACATCAATGAACAGCATTTTACAATGGATTTTAAGACATTAACACAAGAATTCTTTGAAATGAAAACTACAAAGATCAAACAACAATCTAAAATAAATATTAACACAGGTACAAACAGCATTTAAAATGAATTTTATACCAAGCTGCAGTCATGTGATGACAATCTTTTAGAGTATATTTCTATAAATCATACTTCTCACATTTAAAATCATGAGTGATTTGGAAAGAGAGTTTTCATACATACATATCCCTGAAACAAGTTCTGGACAGCTCCCAGCTTCAATTTTTAGATTTACCAAAGTGTCTGATTACTTAAGGACCAACTAACTATTTAAGAGTTCCAGTGTGCAATATTTAAATCAATGCTTTGTGTTATATTTCCAGCTACGAACCAAAGGCACAAAATTTTAAGTCTTTTGTCCTATTCTCCCTTTGCCTATTCTCAGCCCTATTAATTCTGCTGTGTTTAAATAAATGTCATGTTTACAGTACTACTAAGAAAGAAAGGAAAAAGAAAGAAATAAAGAGAGAAGGAAGGAAGGAAAAAAGAAGGGAAGGAAGAAAATATACTACCTATTAGTAGAGAGTAACTTAAACATATAAACATATCCCACATTAGTGGGAAAAGAGGTGATTTACTCTCTAGATACATCAAACAGTGATTAATATATGATGAAATAGAAACAGGGACTGTCAACCATCACAGAAAAATCTGGTACTGATGTGGAGTAGACAGAACTGAGAAGTTACAAAAGAAACTTAGTTTTAGGACAAAACCTTCAAAAGCCAGAAGCCACTCTGAAAGACTTTCACCTAGGTTAGTTAACGTTATGAAGATCAAGGTATAAGTTATTGTGCCATGCCAAAGGCTTATGTACCAGTTTGAGACCTTTGGCAGTGACAATCTCCTGTTTCATCACAACTTACCAATAATATTGGTTGGCCCAAAGTAAACTTTTTAGCATAGAAAGATTAGGCTAAGAAGCATATGTAACAATAACTGTCATTTATATAGCA